CATGGCCATACAAGGGAAAACTCTATGGTTTTCCCTTGTATGGCCGTGGCCCCGCCCCCAGCGTGCTTGGCATCCTCTCGTCACTTCTGGGTGACGTGCGTGTGACGCGCACTAGACGCCGGCCAGGAGCCCCCCGCTCCCCGCAAAAACGCACTTGGCAACCCTACAACAACACGATAAAAACAATTTTGTATAAGAAAGAGACAGAAAAGAGTAAATGGGTGGGACAGAAAGAATGACCAAAAGTAAGGGGGGCTAAACCAGCTATATAGTTGTGAAGAGAAAATTCATCTGGTACAGTTTTTCAGCCTAGCCTCACAAGCTGCACCTTGTTCAAATTCCCTCAGTGACCAGTCTTTTGCCTGTATTCATCTATTAAGTACATAAGTCCTCTTTTCCATGTGACAGAAGCTCTTAAAAACAAGGAAAAAGAGGATATTTGGTATAAAAATAACTAAAATCAGGCTCTGTATTGTCAATTGTGATTAAATGTGAGTTGTTTCTCTGAATATGCTGTTTGCTGACAACTTTTGGGAATCTCAAAGCAAAGACTTGGCTGCTATCATGTCCACTTGCCCATACTTTCAACTCTTTGTCAGTCGCTTGCACTGGTGTTCCACTACAGAGAAGAGCACAGTCTGGGCATATTTTTGAACACACAAAATTAAAGAAACTCAGGTGAAAGGTCACAACATAGCACAAGTGGTGGTGGGGAGTTATGCTATTTGCTGACTACATTATATGCACTATGAGAAGAATACTGAGAATCTGTGCAGAATGAAAGAAATAAAGTTTATTGGGGGAATAACTGGTAAACCCAAGCTGTATTCTTGAACCTGTACAGGTAGTCTACCTCAGGACCCAAACACCTAACTGAAACCCTTGCCCATCTCCACAACTGGGAACGGAAGGACAAAGCACTCTCACACAACTAAGTGAAGGGAGGGGAGGCTTCTTACCATGATAGCCAAGCACACACACCCCTTTCATAGCAATAATTAAACCATGTGAAGTATCTGGACACCCCGTGGTACCTCTGAAGATCTCCCAGTTAGGGGGCACAGGGCAAGCACCTGTTAGCCAAGACACCCCACTTCCTCATAGGCTGCTACTGGGGTATAACAATGGAAGCAGGGAACCCAACCATTGCCATTTTTGGTCAAAACTCACAGCTCCTTCTTGCCATATGGGACTACAGCAACAGCAGACTGCATACATGGTGAACTATAACTTCCTATAAGCCATGAGTGAATATTGGCCCCATTACAACATAACTGTCCCAACAGGGAGGGAAACCCAACAAGCCCCCAAATGGATCCACACTCTGAAATGATTTCACCACCTTCTGCAGAGTAGTTGGGCCTCTAGGCTGTCTGTCTCTATAGTACACCAGTTCTCATTGTTGTACCTGGGCATCTCTAACCACACACTCAAATCCATCACACACTACCATGTGCAAAGTGCTATTCGCTACTACTGCTGAACATTCTCTCTGATAAGCAGGAAAGCTTTAGCTCAGTTGGGGTCAGGTCTGTGTCCAGCTTGAAGAGACCATCTGCAAGCCAGGACTTTATAGATCTTCCAGTATGCTGACTGGTTCACACAAACAAGACAACTGTCCACAGAATTATAGACATGGCAACAGAAAGGGAATCTTACTTGTCACAGGACTTGGCACAAGCATGAGTAGTACACCACTTGAGAGAGTATGTGCTTTATTAGGCTCCTTCAGCTATTAGATCTTCTGTTAACTAGACACATTATGACAACAAAGCAAAAACAACAACACTACGTCTGAGAAGGAATTAACATCAGCCTGCTGCTCCACAATTCTATTGGGTTATCAATGGCATAGTGACTAAAGTCAGTTGATAGATCCCTCCATCATGGTCTGGAATCTAATTCTTCCCTACCCCAATAGATAAACAAGGAGACTGGTGATCTGTGTCTTGGAAACTTTTTGTCTGACAGTGGTAACTGTGACTTCATATAACATTTGATCTCTAGAGTCATGGTGAACATTTCTTTATAACATTTGATCTCTAGAGTCATGGTGAGGTCTCTTGTAGTTTAGTATGGCAAGGAACATGTTCACAGCAGTTGCCTATGAAAGAAAAATAGATGTAAACATTTCTTTATAGCAACGTATCTCATATTTGGTTCCAATATAATGTGAAAAACAGGCATGAAACTTTCAAGAACTTTGTACTAGTTCTGGTGAGGAGCAGGGGGAAACTGTCAGCAATAGAATTCTAACTGGCAGTGCACTTTTCATTCCTGGGAACAGAACATGGTGTCCTCTATACACAAAGAGGCATCTGAAGTGGTGCTAGGATTCCACCTGGTTGAGAATCTTTGAAGAATGGTTTCTGCTTTTCTGCTGCCATATCCACCTGGCCTCAGAGAGAGGGGGTCTACTTGACTACAGCTTCAAAGATGGCTCATAAGGATAGCCTGCCATCTTCCTGATTGGAGAAGTGGTGAAGGCTTAGAATATGTTCTTGCTCGGACTACCGTGAGAGTTCCTGGTGGGTGCAGGGTTTTATTTTTCATTTATACCAGCTTGCAGCTTCTGGGAAAGAGAAGGATAGAAGTGTAAGACAGAGGACCTATTTTCCACTATTGATTCCACCAAAACCATCAGCAGCAGCAGCAGCTTGTCAAAGTTGTTGTCTGGCCAGTCCTATGTTTCCTAGGCTTTTCTTTCTTTTGCCATTTACTGCTTCACACTTTTCTTGTGCTCTCTTAAATTGCCACTCCTCTCTTTATTGAACTCCTATCTGTCATGTTCTCACTGTTTCTAAGTTGCACTTACACAGACTTAGACTGAATCCATGTGTTGTTCAATACTGTACTATTGGAATCAGTCATTTACTGGATTTTCCTGGAGGTGAATGGGTACATTAATACAATACCCAAGAATGCCTGGATCCTGGATTCTGTAGCGACATTCTCAAGAATGCCTGGATCCTGGATTCTGTAGCCCTGGCAACATTCCCAGCATGGATTGTTTACTATTTCTTATGCTCCCCATCACCACTAGTTGTAGAGGGGTGATGGTGGCAGTGGCTGTTTTCCTTCTTTTCATATGTGTCGCTATCAGTCTTTGTTTCTTTCTTGTTGTTATTTACATCATTTTAGTTTCATTCTTTTCTATTCCTTTTCTGTGTGGTTTGCTGTTGTTTATTTTCCATCTGGATCTCCCTCCCTTCTGTTTGCTGGATTTGAGATCCGACTTTCTTTCCTAATTTTTATTCTGGATTTTAATATTCTATCTAATCACATGCGTAGCCCTTCTATTTTTCCCCCAATTTTTGTACCCAATTTACTGTGACAGATATATTCTTGATCTCATAGTCACATCTTCTCCATATATATGGAGAAGGAGATGTGACTAAGTGATCAAGAGTATATCCATCACAGTAAACTGGAACAAAAATTGAATCTATCCATCCATCGTCTTCTTCCTTCCACTACAACAGTTTCTCCCTTTTCTCCTCCTCTGTTCTCTTCTGCTTTGTCAGTGTTGTTGCTCCATATATTCGCACCAGCCTTATCCTTCTCAGCTTTAGTTAATGCCTTTTCTTTGCTTAGACATAACTTAAACATTACATTTCCCAAATGGAAAGTCAGCTCTGTTGGGAAGCAGTGAATATAAAAGGAATTACAAAATGACATGTTTCACCTGCCTGAATTTTGGAATTCCATCAAAACTTTCCTCAGTGCTATTTATTCTTGTCTCTTTCTTAGGGCAACACAATACAGTTCCTTACCGCTTTGCACTTCCTGTTTGACGAACCCTCTTTTGAAGTTCTGTCTTCAGCTGATTTCCTCCAAAAATACCACAGCTGTTCTATGCTTTAGAAGAAAAGATAAGGGGGAAGTGAAGCATACATCAGAGAAGGCAAAACTCAGAGAAATAATACAGTTATTTTCTGAGATCTATACATATCACATTTTTAAAAACACGTATTTGGGGGAGTGATAGCAAATTATTAGATTGCTATGAAAGCTCAAGAAGCTCTACAGTTGCTAGGACTGACCTGGATAGCCCAGGCAAGCCTGGTCTCGTCATATCTCGGCAGCTAAGCAGGCTCAACTCCGGCAAGTACTTGTATGGGAGACCTCCTTGGAATACCAGAGGTGTGAGCAGGCTTTATTCAGCCACCTCTCTGAATTTCCTCCAGGCCCCCAGTAGGGGTCAGTCACCAGAGGTTGCCGAGATTTCCAGGTGCGCACACGCGCGCACACACGCATATTAAAAAACAAGCTCTACAGTTGCTAAAGATTCCCATTCATGTGATAACAAGACAGGTCTTCATAAGGATTAAAAACTGGTTAAATGACAGGAAGCAGAGAGTAGGAATAAATGGACAATTCTCACAAAGGAGGGAAGTGATTAGTGAGACCATTTAATTTATTCATACTTACCTGGACTGTGTGTGGGGGGAAGAAGAAGTGTAGTGGCCAAAATTATTCAGGATGTTGAAAACCAAAGCAAATTGTAAAGAACTACAAGAAATTTCTCTAAACTGGGTGAGTAAGCAACAACAAGGCAAATAAAGGCAGGGTAGGCAACTGTAAGGTGATTTACATTGGAACAAAAAAATCCTGACGTTAAACATGCTGATGATGTCTGAACTGGCCAAGACTGAGGGTCAAACTAGACATTGACACTTTTTAAATACTCTGATCCAAGGTCCATGGACATGACCCACTTTGCCTGTAGCCACACCACACCTGAGGGGGAAATCATTTTAAAAAACTGGCAGGACCTGAAAACATTAAAAAAAAAACACAGGTTTGGAACTGAAGAATGTGGGGAGGATGGCCTCTTACCTTCCTTGTGTATCATTTTCCCAAGCTGAAATGATCCTGGGGGGAGTAATTTCCCCCTTTCTGCAGCTGCACAAAAGGGGGAAACAATTTCCCCAGGCCCATTCCAACTCAAGAAAATAGTGTTGGAGTAATTGGAGATCCCTTCTCCCACACTGCAGTTGTGAGCTGAATTTGGCTCCAATGATTTTAAAAATTATATTAACTGCAGCTGCTTTGTGGCTGTTGAGAAAGTGAGCTGGGTTTGGGAAACCAGGGCCCAACTCTTTAGAAAGCATTGTATCTAGTTTGGTCCTAAGAGGGAAAAAGAGAACTTCAGGTTGTAGCAGATAGCTTGATGAATATGTTGACTCAGTGTGAGGCAGCAGTAAAAAAGACAGACTCCATGCTAGGGATTATTAGGAAAGAACTGAAAACAAAATAGCTAGTAATGCAATTACCCTGTACAGATTACTGTTGCGGCCTCAGTTGGAATACTGTGTACAGTTCTTATTGCCGGATCTCAAAAGGATAACTTCAGAAGTGGGACAAGTGTAGAAGAAATCAACCAAGATGACTAAGGGGTTGCAGCACCTTTCTTATGAAGAACAGCTGAAAAGTCTAATGCTTCTTTACTCAATGAATAATTAAATTGTGGAATTCACTGCCAGTGTACATTGTAATAGCCACAAGTATAGACAGCTTTAACAGGAAATTAGATTCATCGAGGATAGGTTCATTAATGACTTCTAGCCATGGTGACTCAAAGGAAACTCTATTTACAGGGAGTAAACATCTAAATATTAGTGCTATGAGACAACATTAAGGACAATTTGACATCTATATCCGATCTGTTGGCCCTCCAGGGCAACTTGTTGATTGCCATGTAAAAAACGTAAAGACCAACAATAAAACTTTCTTCAAATACATTAGAATCAGGAAACCAGCCAGGGAGGCAGTGGGGCCCTTGGATGACCAAGGGGCAAAAGGAGTACTGAAGGATGATAGGGAAATGGCTGAGAAGCTAAATGCATTTTTTACCTCTGTCTTCACTGTGGAAGATGAGAAGTGCTTGCCCACTCCAGAGCCGCTGAGTTCGGGAGGGGTGTTGAAAGACCTGAGTCAGATTGAGGTGACGAGAGAGGAGGTCCTACGACTGATAGACAACTTAAAACTGATAAATCATCAGGCCTGGATGGCATACATCCGAGAGTTCTGAAAGAACTCAGATGTGAACTTGTGGATCTCCTGACAAAAATATGTCAGAGGTTTCATTAAAATCTGCCTCCATTCCTGAAGACTGGAAGGTGGCTAATGTCACTTCCATCTTTAAAAAGGGTTCCAGAGGAGATCCAGGAAATTACAGGCCAATCAGTCCGACGTCGATACCGGGTAAATTGGTGGAAACGATTATTAAGGAAAGAATAAGTAAGCACATTGATGAACAAAAACTATTGAGGCAGACTCAGCATGGGTTCTGTAAGGGAAGATCTTGTCTCACTAACTTGTTAGTGTTCTTTGAGGGGGTGAACAAACATATGGGCAAGGGGGACCCAATAGATGTTGTTTACATTGACTTCCAGAAAGCTTTTGATAAAGTTCCTCATCAAAGGCTCCTAAGTAAGCTCAAAAATCAAGCCTTTTTTTTAAAAAAAAGTCTCAGTTATTAGAGCTGGAAAAGATCCATCTCAGTCTGAGGTTTGGAAGGTTGTTGCCAGTCAATCTATCACCCTCTAGATATAAATACACGTTGATGGGGTCTGAACTGGCAGAGACTGATCAAGAGAGAGATCTTGGAGTTGTAGTGGATAACTCACTGAAAATGTTGAGACAGTGTGTGACTGCAATAAAGAAGGCCAATGCTATGCTGGGGATTATTAGGAAGGGTATTGAAAACAGATCAGCCAATATCATAATGCCCCTATATAAATCAATGGTGAGACCTCATTTGGAATACTGTGTGCAGTTCTGGTCACCACACCTTAAAAAGGATATTATAGCTTTGGAAAAAGTGCAGAAAAGGGCAACTCGAATGATAAAAGGGTTGGAACACTTTCCCTATGAAGAAAGGTTAAAGCACTTGGGGTTCTTCAGCTTGGAGAAACGACGGCTGAGGGGTGACATGATTGAGGTTTATAAGATTATGCATGGGATAGAGCAGGTAGAGAAAGAGGTACTTTTCTCCCTTTCTCACAATACAAGAACTCGTGGGCACTCTATGAAATTGCTGAGCGGTCAGGTTAGAACAGATAAAAGGAAGTACTTTTGGGAATTAGATAAGCATATGGAGCAGAGGTTTATCGGTGGCTATTAGCCACAAGGTATAGATAGGGACTCGTGATGCTCTGTATTTTTGGTGCTTGGGGGGGGGGGGTCAATAATGTGAGGGCTCCTAGTGTCCTGGCCCCACTGCTGGACCTCCTGTTATCACCTGGTATTTTTGGCCACTGTGTTACAGAGTGTTGGATTGGATGGTCCAACATTGGCTTCTCTTGTGTTCTTATGTGAACATGATGCTGGACTAGATGAACTACTGGTCTGATCTAGCAGAGTTTTTATGTTTATACGGCTTTGTAGTCTGATTTTGATCCTACAGACCTGCACGTACAATTTAGAGGCAAACTACATTTTACATGCCACTGAATTTAACCATTGCCCAAAAGGTCTGTTCCGATAGAAAAAACCTCTTTGGGAAGGGCAACTAAGAGTTGAGAATGACGGAGCTATTAAACAAACATCCATCCCAGCTATTTAGTCTGAGTGACTTAATTCCATCATTCCTTCTGGCCACATAATAAGATATCAGCAATTAAAGAAGTACACATATTCATGATTTTAATTATTTGTATGCATGTTAGTCTATATAATCTCATATAGTTTCATAACCTATGTAATGTTCAGCTGCTGGTCAGGTCTATTACCAAAGTTCAGTGCTGAATAAACAGCAGAATTATTTTTCTTTAATTATGAACAGCTCTATTTTTTAGCATTACAACCCTGCTTTGAGAGTTTTAATTGGTGTGATCAAGACGTAGCCTAGTTCACTTGGTGCTACTCATTTGAATAATGGGAATTATCCAACTGTTTTTTTTAGAGGACAATTACACGTTAAAGGTAGATTTATGTTCCTGTCACCTTCTCTATAAAAAGTGCCATGTAAGTATCGAATCATGCTTTCTGCTGGTAGCTTCCAGTCAAAGCGGCTCTTATGGGCAAGCATATCTTGTATGCTGGGCTTCCCATTTTAGATAGCACTCTGCCTATCATCTTAAAACTTGATCTGCCATAATCTTAGAAAATTGAACTCATTATGTATTTAATTCAAGTTTAAACCGTTAGAAGATTTAATTTTTATCATTGCATTTATTTTGGAGTCATAGGGTTAATTTGCGTATCTTATTTGTTAACTTCTTGCCTAATAAAAAGGGTTATGCTTTATATTAAATAAAATCATTAACTCAGAGAAGTGTTCTGTTTGTTCTGCTGGCAAAAGATCTGCTGTCACCCCTCCATCCTTCACCGGTGGCCAAGGAGGACATGGCAATCCTATGTCTGATTGATAATATTTTATTGTGCTGCAAGGGATGAGTCTCTCTCAGTTTATCTTAGCAGATCTAACTGGAGTATATAGTGCTGTATTCAGCCTAAAGAGGCTTTAAGTCTCCGAGAGCTGAATTGTGTAAATCTCTAGACTGGGTGCAAATAATAGAATTTGTTACAGAGGCACCACTGTCTCGCATCCTCTATAGACAATCAGATTTCTCTGTTTTAGCCCAGGATTTTTTCCTTTACACAGATGAGCTTTTGAAATCTTAGAACCACAATAATATTAGTTTGGTTTTCGGGTATATATATTTTTTAAAAATCTAAACATCCAGAAGATAACATGGTTTTAAGATTTCATAATAAAAGCAAAAATAAGTTTATAACAGCATCATGCTTAATCTGTCCACTAGACAAGGTGATTGCCTAGCTAGGTTTACTTACATTACAAGCTCCATTATTCACACTTGAGACAGAAATCCATGCTGAATTCTCTTTCAGCTGGAGCCTCTAACTAGCCTATATGATGCCACTTGGAGACCTGGTGCCAGCTGAAGACCATGGACAAGCACGTGTCTGCCTTAAATAAAATCTTAAAAGAATGTAAAAAAATTAAAAGGATTCCCTTGAAGGTCACCTTCACAGAGAATTTTTAAACAAAGTGAAAAAAATAAAAAGAAATGTTTTACAAGAATACCTTATTGTGTGATATAGCAGGACCGTTTTCTGGAGACAGACCTCAGTAAATTCTTTAACTGAAATCTAGCCAAATCTGGGAGAAAACACCCATCTGGGCAAGCAAGGAAATTGATTATTTCAGTTGCTTTGCATGAAGAGGGGATGCTGGCCTGCCCTCCTGTCAATACTGGTATGGCACATTATCAATTGAAGAAAAATGGTATAAAATTCTAAACACAGAGCTTCAGTATTATAGACATGTTGTAGCAGAAACATACAAAACACTGTTCATCTGAACTTCTACAGTTTCCTAATACTCTAGCATTCTTTATCTGTCTGCATAAACTGGCTAAGTCTATTTTGCTCAGAACAAGAAATAAAGAAGGTGAAGTTTTCTGACATTATGCAAGGCAGTAGAGACAGAGATACCTACTTACTTCTCTGATCCAGTCACTACAAAATATGGTTTTCCCAAATCACTGTCAAAACTACAATTCAAAATCCCATCAGAGAATCTCATGAAGGATATTCTTACCTTTTGCCAAAAGATATGAGATGCTTTGACATAAATTCAGTTATGGAATTCAGCAATCCATACCTCTTTTTCGTGTGCAGTACACCTAAAGCTACAGACAAAATTAAATGGGTTGGGAAAATGAGGGGAAATAATAAACAAAATACTGCAAATCCCACAAAAATCTGCACTAAATCTTCCCTCAGAAGCAGCTTTGAGTGGGTTGGGAAATTCAAATACTAGGAACTCCTTTGCATATTAGGCGACACACCCCTAATGTAGCCAATCCTCCAAGAGCTTACAGTAGCCCCTGTAAGAAGAGCTCTGTAAGCTCTTGGAGGATTGGCTACATTAGGGGTGTGTCGCCTATCATGCAAAGGAGTTCCTGCTACAAAAAGAGCCCTGTGTTTCCCATTCTCCCAGTTAGTACTCTGTGATTTATAATATTTTAAAGCATAGCCTCCAACCAGGTAGTGTTTCCTGGAAAAACATTGTTGCTGTCAGTGACTTATCAGTTTTTGCCCCAGGCCATCTTAATTCCACACACTAGTCCTGGCCAGGAGTCACTAAATTTTGAAGTCCAAAGCTGGCAAGCAACCCTTCAAGGGTACCTTTTATTACTGGAACACCCTGAGACTCTGATAGGTAGAAAACCAGTTTGACAGATTGCTGGTCCCATGCCAAGCTCTATCAGCCATTAGTTCAGTGAGGGACCACTGTAGGCCTAGGCTTGCACACACCCATACACACACTTCTAGAACATGATGACTGGAAGCACTGAAACATCATTCCTAACCTCCAAAATTGGGGCTACCTGGCATGTCCAGAGAAGCCTTGTGGGTTTCAGGAGCACAAATGGAAGGAGACCTTTTGACTTTGTGGGCTTCTTTCAAAATGTTAACTTTAAACCATTTGGGATGACTACCTTTTGGGCAATGCAGTGACAGTTGCTCTAACTGTCTCTTGTCTGTTCTGCTTAGTTTGCCATTCGCAGAATTAGATTGCTTAGAAATGATCTCCTTAGCGGTTTTGAGGACTCCCATCCCTGAATCTTGGCTGGAAGCTTCTTCATGGGTATGGAGCAAATCCTTTGTATGGAATCTGCTGACTAACTCACATTTCAGTGTCTTCACAAGATTATCGAGTCCAAAAATATCTGATAAAGGAAGAAGAAGAAGGAGGAGGAGGAGGAGGAGGAGGAGGAGAAGGAGAAGAAGAAGAGGAGGAGGAGGAGGAGATTGGATTTATACCCCGCCCTTCACTTGGCATCTCAGAGCTGCTTACAAACTCCTTTCCCTCCCCCTCCCCACAACAGACACCCTGTGAGGTGGGTGGGGCTGAGAGAACTCTGACACAAACTGCTCATTTCAAGGACAGCTGTGCCAGAGCTTGTGATTGACCCAAGGTCACATCAGCAGGTGCAAGTGGAGGAGTGGGGACTCAAACCCGGCTCTCCCAGATTACAGTCCGCACACTTAACCACTACACCAAACTGGCTCTTTAAACAAGAGTTAAACAACAGTACATGCAATGGTGTAAAAAAAGCTTTTTAAAGTTCAAGATAGATGATAGGCAGGCAGGCAGGCAGACATGTGTGCACAAACACACACACACAAGCTGGGGAAAGCACAAAATTGCAGGAGAGAAACTTCCTGGGCCTCACCCTCTCCTTGAGCCCCCTCCTTCTTTCTCTCATTTCCCCCCCCTCCATATATCCCTCCCCCCATGTTTTCCCACCCTTCCTCTCTTTGCAGGCTTTCTCCACACACTCTGTTTTCCTCTCCCTCCCAACCCGCCTCTCTTTTTCCTGGGCTCTTCTCTTCCCCCTTTTCTATAATAGTCTCTGTCTTCCTAGCCTCTTCTCTACTTTGCCCAGTCCTGTGTTCTTATCTCAGTGCTGCTACCAGGATTGCCTAGGCCAAGGCTCTAATGCCTTGGTTGCCAGGCAGCCTCCCAGTGCTGACTGTGATCTTGCAAGATTCCATGAGATCTCAGTCAGCAAAGCATTGTCTGATTTGGGGAAATTTCAACCTCTCCAATTTTATTTTTGAAAAAAAACCCTTTTAATATTTTCCTCTGTAGAAACATGACCTTTCTTTGTAAATGGCAGAATTATATGGATTTTTGTATTCACATTTTAGCCATGTCAGAATTAGATAAAATAATCTTACTAGTTTTAACAGCCAACCCCAGATTATATAACATGGATCAAATGACAGAGAGGTTGCTTCTATATTGAGGCAATTCCTTGTGGAGCTCTCACAGTGGCAATGGAGCATCCACATGGGGGAAGTGTCTCCACTTTTATTTAGACTCCCTGGTACTTACCATTCCTCCTCACCACCATGGCTTTTAAAATCAGTAGCTGATACATTGTTAGCATGTCAGAACACTATGGCAATATATCAACTACCAGCTGTGTAGAAAGCTGGCAAAAAGCCCACTGGTAGCAGTGGAGGAAATGGTGGGCATAAGAGGATGGCACTGATGTGGCTGATGAGAGCCAGAAATTCAAACCTTCCTGCCCACATCATGACATAAACTGCTTTGAATTCAATCTTTCTGGAAAGACTTTACTAAAGCAGGTTTTGAAAACGACAGAGAAAACAATAGAAGGATCTGGGAGGGGAATGGATGCGTGACAGTCATGCAGAAGCTCCACTTAAAAATCACAGCAGTCTGACAGGTAACTTGCACTTGCAAGTCTATCTGGAAATAATCAGAGAAAGGGTATTTATTGCACTAACTAGGCTTTAAAATTTGGGAAGCAAGTTTTCAAGTCACATGGAATATATTTATCTAGCTGTATTTATTTGCTAGTTTAGCTAAATCAAGTAAATGGGTGCCCGCTGCCCAGATCTGGAGAGCCCAGGCTAGCCCAACCTCATCAGATCTCAGAAGCTAAGCAGGGTCAGCGGTTAGTACTTGGATGGGAGGCCACCAATGAAGTCCTGTGCTACTCAACACAGACAGGCAATGGCAAACCACCTCTGTTTCTCTTCTCTTGAAAACCCTGTAGAGTCAGCTGTGACTTGATGGCACTTTACACACACACACACACACACACACACACACACACACACACACGGAAAATGGGTGACATCGGTGATTAGTTTACAGATAGTTTAACTTTCTCGGCTAAGCCTCAGTAAATGCTACTTAAGACTTGCTTTCACAGTTACTCCAATTTAACTAAGATACGTCTTTAAAAAGCAAACAAATAAAAAGAGTCTTGTGGTATTTTGAAGCTAACAATTGTTATGGGGAAAGTTGACTCGCCTATAAATCACCATTACTGAACAAAATTACTTCACAGGGACAGGAAACTCTAGCAGAAACTTACTAAATTAGAATGTGACAGCAAGTTTCATTCCATCAGTTTAAGCCTGAGTCATCGTAATGGTTTCTTCTCACACTGTATGTGTTATCTTTAATAAGTCTAGGAAGATTATGTTTTGGACCTTTGTTGGAAAAAGGCTTTCCCCAATCTTCATTCCTGTCTGACCCTGAAACAAACCATTTCTAATCTACATTTTTTCCCTGTGGGAAGCAGAATAATTTACATCTTTCCAGATTTATTGTTTGGATGAGCACATTTTGAGTGTACAATAAGTTCCACCATCCTCTTGTGCAGAATTATTAAGTGTAAAGAATAAAGTTTGCCAGCTTAAGAGTGAGGTTAATACTTACTGTTTCTGTGTAAGAAGACAATGGCATCTTGATATCCTTGTAAATATATATTTTGCAAATCCTGTGAAAAGACCCACCATATATCATAACAATCAACCAGCATGTGCATTTCATCGATAGTAGTTGGCAGTAGTGTACTGTTCATGTACCCTGGAGCTGGAGAAGGAGTGACAATGGGAAGTTTAAGAGTGCTGGAATGAGCCCTTCCCTCAGGAGCCATGCTGTGCACCCAGCTGTGCCCTCTGTGTGCGCTGTTTCTCCTGTATGCTGTTGGAAATGTATGGGTTGCAAGGACTCAGATTCCAGCCATTATAGGGTTAACTTGTTCACCTTCTCTACTATTGTTTGGACTGACCTGGAAGGGAGACCTGGCAGACAGCCAAAGCAAGAAAAGCCCGCGAATGTTAATGGTATGATTGGTTACTGGTTTCAGGTGACTTCCTTTCTAGGGGTAAAGAAGCAGATTCTCCATTGTTGTGCACTTTTTGTGTGACCGTGCTTTGTAGAAGTAAGGTGTGACAATGTAGCTCTAGATATGTTTGTTACTTTGTAGGTTTCCTGTGTACCCTTTAACCTTAGAAATAAAGCTTTTTAAACAGAAAGAAAGGTCTTCTCTCCAGTGAAGCAAAGATCCATTGCAAACTTTAAGTATTTATGTATTTTGACTATTTCCCCCAACATATTCAGGCATCACAACCTGGAATTTGTAACAAGAACAAGTCTGAACAAGCCCTAAGGATGTGAGTCTCCAGGTAGGACCTGGGGATGCCCTGGAATTACATCTCTTTTCCAGACTACAGAAGTCAATTACCCCAGGAGAAAATGAATGCTTTGGAGGGTGGACTGTATGGCATTGCACCCCACTGATATGCCTGTCCTCCCCAGGCTCCACCCCCAAATCTCCAAGAATTTCCCAACCTGGAGCTGCCAACCCCACCCCCCCATCCCCCACTGGTGGCCGGGGGGGGGGGGACCTGGCAACCCTACTGAGTGACAGTCACAGAGCCAAGAGCAAACATTTACTGATTCAATATAGCCTCATTTTCTTGTGATGTTTGAATTTAAGTTTTTTGACAAATTAGATTTTGTTTTCTGCCCACGGAATTCTGACCCATAGCTTAATCCTGTTTGTAATCTGGTATTGTGGCCAAGAAATACATCCCAGTTTGTTGAAACTCCCCAATTTAGATCTCAACAAACTGGTATTAGATCAAAAGCATTATAAACTGGGAAGCATTGTAAAGTAAAAGCATTATAAACCAGGAGAAACAAGCCTTTGTTTAAGGAGACTAAACAAGATAGTTATTTTCTTGACATAAAGAGATTTACTGGAACAAATTGTAGGGCACCCAGAAATTTCCTTACGCTGGGTCGCCAATGTGGGGAGACTAAGGGTACAAAATTCCCAGGGCCCAAGTCAGCTTAAGGGATCACTGGAGCTAGAAACATTTCAGGATGTGTGGGTTGTTTTTTTTAACTTTTAGTACAGCTCTGCAATGCAGCCACTAGGGATGCAAGGAAGGCAGAAAAGAGCAAACAGGCAGATGCTATTTCTAGTTGGTACTGTTTGCTGCCTTTTTTAAGCTGTGACTTTTAAAGAAAGCTTGCCATGGCTGCAAACTTCTTTAACTATGAGGCTGAGGAAAACATTTTCCTATCATGAGTTGTTCCTAAGCTCATCAGTATGCCTTCTCTTCTCTTTACAGCCTCATTCCTTCTCATCTCTACCCTAGCTGGGGAGTTAATGTACACTTAATAGTAAAAAACCAAACCTCTATGTCAAGTTAATATATTCCAGATATTCCAGGAATCTAACAAAGTAATGAAAGAGTGATCTTTACACTTTATATGCATTGTGATCTGTATTGATCTGTATTAGTGGTTATAAATGTAGAATAGTGGGTGGCTTAGGTGAATATCTTAGTTTCAGTTTATATCACATGCTGCATAATTAAATCATTGAATAAACTTTTAAAGAATGAGACTTTAAAAGGCATGATATTTGTTTTGGATCAGGGAGGCAGATGGAATTTTTGTCCAAGGGCCCATGGTGGCTCTCAGCAGTCCATGAATCATTGTCCCGTGAAATACCACCAAACAATCCTGTACAGCTGGCTGATGGATATGAAAGGTATCACTTGGCAAGGAGACAAAGTGAGGAACAGGCAACTTACCTGGCAACTGGGTGGGGAAAAGGCGTGCCATAACCGGCCCAAGTTTTCCATAGATATGTGGAGGCTAGTATTTACATTCACACTGTAAAAGATGGCTGGGCAGTCTCGAGGACAAATGTCAATCTCTCCCGTAAAAGGAGACACTGTGATGACAGTCTCCAAGTCAGAATAAGGCTGTAGGCTAGAAAATCCTCCATCGACATACCGCTAGAGGAAAGCAATGAGAGAATTTCATTACCAAAGGAGTTTAAATTAGATGAAACATAGTAGAACCACAACTAGTGAAAGTATATATTAGTTCTGATATTTAATTATTTGATCTCCGTTTACTATTCATGCATTTATTTTGATTTAGAGATGGTCTGTTGCAGGGTCGCGAGAACATATATGAAGCTGCCTTATACCAAGTGGATTAAGAGTCCACCTAGTTCAGTACTGTGATGGACAGATGCTCTCCAGAGCCTCATGCAGAAAAAGCCCACATCTTTCCCAGCACCATTAGCTGGAGATAACAGGAACTGAATCTGGGACCTTCCACATGCAAATCTTGCACTTTATCATTGAGCTACAGTCTCTTTCCCAAACGAAAAATAGGTAAGAGATGTGCACTGTTGCCACAATCATCAAACCTCCATTTTCAGCACAGTCCTAAGGGAAGGGGGGTGCAATCAGCACAGGGAGCTGGCTGACTCCCACACCAGTATAACTCAGATTTACACTGGTGTAAGGGCCATGGCACTGACACGAGTGGTGCTGCATCACTCAGGTTCACCGGCACAGTTGTGCTACAGGCACAAGCTGGCAGTTTGATGGCACGAACCCCTGCACCAGTGTAAATGTTTCATGGGGTGTGGTGCCAGTTAGGGAATGCTAGGAGCCTGGAAATGCCCCCCAGAACAGGTGCAAAGTTGCACTGGCAAAAATTGGCAGTGTACCCCATTGGCTGCCATGATAACCCCAAAATCACTCCCCCGCACACTTCTGTGGCCACACCTATGGGAACCCAAGTAGCTCAGGATACTAAGTGTGTATCCAGTCAGCACCCTCCCCTGGGCTGCACCCCTCCTCAGCAACCAACGCAAAGTTGCACTGGCAAAAATTGGCAGTGTACCCCATTGGCTGCCATGATAACCCCAAAATCACTCCCCCGCACACTTCTGTGGCCACACCTATGGGAACCCAAGTAGCTCAGGATACTAAGTGTGTATCCAGTCAGGACCCTCCCCTGTGCTGCACCCCTCCTCAGCAACCAACCATGGCCCCCCACCCTACAAATGGTTCCAGGAGGTCACCCCACAACTCCAGAGGTAGGGCACATGGCACGGCACATTGTCTGACAGATCCCTGCCATGCAGACTTAGAGCAAGTGCACGTGCACCTTGGTGGTGGAAAAAACACAGACAGGGCCCTTAGCACCACTTGACAAGCACTTGGTGGGTACACACCACAGGGAGAGCAAAGTCCACACTTTGTGGCTGACCTCTCCCAGATTTTGGCTCCAACAGGTACATCAGCTTCTCCGCTGGGATCCCAGGGGCAGCTGTGCACACACAGGTAAGCAAGACTCCATTTCCCCAAAACCTGCCTTGGGCCTACAATGGTGGCAACAAGCCTCACTGGACATGGTATCTCCCCATCCTAAACCCAGCAGCTGAGGGGTTGAGCAGCGGTCCCCCTAATGCACATGGAGCCAGTGCAAGAGATGTGTAGGTGCGTCAGGGCCCGCCTGAGGCAGCTGCCAGAGGAGAAGGGTGAGGGTGACACCCATGCACTAACCTGCTCACATTGCCAGTTGGAAACCACCCCTGCACACGAAACCAGGCAGGTGGTGAGCCCCATCAACCTGAGTGCAGAGCGATCCCACATGATGGGCAAGCACTCTCCCTTACAGGAGCAGAATGCCCTGACGCTGCTATCAAAGTGCCTCTCCTGATACATGGCGGTTCTGAAATGACACTGATTCAAATGGGGAAGGTCTGGACTCTGGATACTGCCACATGGTGGGGGGCTGACGCACTGCATCGGAGTGTCAGATGCAGCCCCCGGATTGCTGTAGGGTGGCCCTGCAAGACTGCCAAATGCCCTTCAAGTTGCCAACATGGTTTGGCAAATGAGGGGCTTGATTAGCAAATGGCAGTGGCCACCGAAGGCACAACTGAAGGGTGGCACAATCGATATGTGAGTCAGCCTTTCTGATGGCCCTCCTGCATCATGGCAACCATGATGGTAAATGCCATTGCTACGTGTCTTGAGCCAGGTCCCTGCCACTGATGACCATCCTAGGGCCCAGTACCTGCAGAGCTAAGAGTATCCACCCTTTGTGGGGTGGCTGCACAGACCCTGCACTGTGGAGGGATCAGCAATCCATGTGGATCCTTCCACGATCACCCCATTGTGTTTGCAAAAGTTGCAGATTAGCTGTCCGGCTAGTTGTGTGATGGGCACATGGTCTTACCATCTCAAATGGTGGAAATTCCTACCTCTGCAGACACTGTCGTCCCTCCCCCTTTTCAGGAGACCACAGCATTGTGAGAAACAGAATGGGTGATGGGGGATTCCCCTAGGCTGCAGCCGTGGGGGTCTTATGTGCCCAGTGGGCACACCTTGTGGCTGTTATAACATATAAGGAAAATATTCTCAATTTCTTTGGGATAGAGACTATGTAGTTCAGTTAAAAAAAAAAAAATCAGGAGAGCCAATAACATTATAGTCTATCCCTTGTGCCGGCATAATTATCACCATTTTCCAAAATGTTTTCGCTCTAACACATTCCCAACGGACGTGGAAGACGTCTGCCCAAGGTGTATCACAAAACCGTGATTATTAGCACATTTATACATTTTAACTAGTCTAACAGGAGAGAGGTGCCATTGATGTTTCATTTTTATTACATTTCCTCTCACACCCAAGCTAACTGAAAAAGCTAATCCTATTTTGAATAAAATTTCCAAACATGAGTATCAATGCGATAACCTAGAGAGCAATCCCATTTTTTTTGGGGGGGGGGGGAGTTTGACCAGAACCCTACACAACTTCACAAAGGATTGTATTAAAAATGCAGATAGTGAGCTGATGCTCCTTGAAGCTGTGAGAGCTTAGGAAGGCCAGCCTCCAGGTGGGGGCTGGGGATCCACTGGAATTACAGCTCATCTCCAGACTACAGAGATCAGTTTCTCTGGGGGGAAATTATGCTTTGGAGCAGGGGTGTCAAACATGGCCTGCGGGCTGGATCCAGCACCTGCAGGACTCCTATCTGACCCGTGAGCAATTGGTTCCCTCCTGCTTCCTTCTTCAGGGCTGCTGCTGCTGCTGCATTGCAACTCGCTTTTGCCCAGCTCCCTCTGCTGCTTCCTGCTTCCTTCCAAGTCAAGTCTCCCTTCCCTCCATTGGCTGAGGGCTCCTCCTTTGGGAGGAAGGGAGGGGGAAGCAAAGATCCAGAGAGAGCAAAGTCTGAGTCCTGTGGCTCCTTTAAGACCAGCAACGTTTTATTTCAGGTACAAGCTTTCCTACACTACTTGTTCAGAGGGAGGGTGGGAGGGTAAATGGATTCTTCTAACAAGCACAATGCTCTGTTGTTTTCTTTGAGACTTAATATCTCTCTCACACACACACGCACACACATATATATGTGTTAAAGGGAAGGGATAAGGGGAAAGGAGAATTAAAAGAAAATTATTTTGCCTTATTCTGAAAAGTTTTTTTTTAAGATTAGATTTCTCTATGCCCATCTGGGATTTTCTTTCAAAAGAACCCTGGTTAGGAATTAGAATACTTAGATTGGCTTCCATTGTTTAATAATCCAGTTCTATTGGATTCCAATATTTAATAATGGAAGTAGATGGCTATTTAAAAATACATTTATGGTTCCATATGTTCCAGTTCAACTTGTCTCCCTTTCTCCCCTCCCACCTCACTGACTGCCTTTCTCCCCCTTTGCTTTCATCACTAGCACTTGAGTGGATTTTGCCCAGTCTGAAATCAACACATTATTTCACTTGGAAAGATCCCCCTCTCCAGTTTAAACAGATGAAGGGGAAAAAAAAGAAACCTAACTGTACAGCTTGCAAACTTTATTAGAGGAAAGGAGCAAGAGAAAAGTAGCACCTAACAAAATTTGTGGCAGCTTTCATTGCACACTTCTTCAGATACAGCTAGAATGTGAGTCCATTGGTTCTTATACCTTGGAGAGTGGAGTGATTTCAGATGCCAAATGACAATAGCAGGCATTGGTAATAAGACAGGAAACCTAGGTCTCAATTCAGCCCTGGAGTTCCAATTCAGCAGCCTTTCTTTCTAATTTCCCTTTGAAATTCCTTTGTAAGAGAACTGCTGCTCTTAAGTCAGCAATGTCCTGGAAGGTTAAATGTTCCCCCACTGGTTTTTGAATGCTGTGGTTTTTAATGTCAAACTTATGTCCATTTATTCTTTGCATCCTCCTGGACTGAATCATCCTGGACTGAATTGAAAGTATCTCAGAGAATGTAGCATTCGCTGCCAAAGGGTGTAGTGACAGCCACAGGAACAAACAGCTTTAAAAGGGGATTAGATAGATGAATGAAGGATAGGTCTATCAGTTGCTACTAGCCATGGTGACAGAGGGGAACCTCCACATTCAGAAGCACTAAACCTCTGAATCCCAGGGCCAGGAGGCCACATCAGGGGAAAGCCTCAGCCTCTATGCCCTGTTGTTGGTCCTCCAGAAGAACTGGGTGGCTACTGTGTAAGACAGGATGCTGGACTAAATGGACTACTGGTCTGATCCAGTGGGGCTCTTCTTGGGTTCTCATTGAGGGAAGGCCTCGGCCTCTATGCCCTGTTGTTGGCTGTCCAGAGGAACCGGTTGGTCACTGTCTGAGACAGGATGGTGGACTAGATGGATCACTGGCCTGATCCAGCAGGGCTCTTCTTATGTGCTTATCAGGGAAAGGCCTTTGCCTCTATGCCCATTGCAAAAGTAATTGCTAAATTCAAATTCCCTTAAGCAAGCTATTAAGAATTGATGCTCCAATCTGTCAAATACTTTTTCTGCATCGAGAAAGATAAGAGCAGATGGAATACTATGCGCTTTGACATAGGCCAGGAGATGGAAAACTCTATGTACATTAGCAGGGCCAACAAATTAAGTCTCAAAGCTAATATTGAGGTGAGTATTTTATAATCATACTGTTGGTACTTTAAATATGCCATGCCCATTGATGATGTCATCATCATAATCATCATCATAGTAGTAGTTAAGCTGACTTACCACACCTCGGAAGGAAGGAGGGATAAATCCAAAATATATAGGAACAAAGCAGCTGCAGATCAATGCCTGTAGAAGAGGAGGAACATGATTGTATGGAGGCAAAGTGCTCAAACTATTCCTATAGGTGGGGAGGGTAATTCCGCTTAAGAGCAATGGAGCAAGGCAATTAGCTGATGTAGAGTACCTGCTAGCATTTAGAATTACAAACCAGGAACCTCCCAGTTAAAATCTGATCTCAGCCATGAAAAACACAGTAGCCTTACAGCCTAACTCCATGCATGTTTTCTCAGGTTCAAAACAGAGGAAATAATGGGAGATTTGGGATGGGGTTTTTGCAGAATCTTTTAAGGCTAAATTACAAGTGCTTGGGGGCCATGCAGGGATTGGACAAGGGGTTTAACCATTTCACAGACAGACAGTTACGCAAATCAAAACCAGGGCTATTGTGTTTTAGGCTGGTTTTAAAAAAACACAAGTAAAAGACGGATAGGGCCCAGTGGTAGGGAGTTTGGTTAGCAAAGCTGTATGGGAATAAAGGATTTAATCTCAGCCATGCCTGATCTGAATCTGGGCAGCTATTCTTGCCCTGCCATCTGCAAGACTAGGTTATTGTAGGATTATTGAGATAATGTGAAGTGCTTTGAATGCTCCAAAGCTCTATACAAATGCTAATTATTATTATCAACACTGATTCCAAAGACCATCTGCACTCTCATATGTTCACCTGTGAACTTTCTGAATCATTATTGACACTTTTTTCCTATTCTGAACAAAAATCAAAAGGAAGATTCTGTCACCTGAATAAGCTCTTCTTTGGAACTGTACTCTGAAACGATGACATTTTGACCATCCGCTGCACGGGTGAGGGAAATAAAAAGCCTTCCTGTGGCCATCTGGTGAGAGTTTTCCGGCATACTTTGGTACAAGTGCTTCTGTATAGTCCGAATGATGCTGTATCCATGGGTTAAGGGACCAAGAATGCTTCTTCTCACATCTTGTGCAATAGTGTAGAAATTCATTTTTAGATCATCTGATGGGAGAAGAGGGGGGAATATTCACTGAAAGTTTTTCAGTCAGTGATCATGACAGAATTAGTTAACATTAAAGGCTATGCTCAGTTACTTATAAAAAGAGCCAGCCACATTAGCTGTGCTTAGTTAGAGGACCTTAAATTAGGATCTGAAAACAGGATGTGAAGCTGGTTTATCGACCAGTTTCTCTAAACCACTGTTTTGTGTTATGTACAGACAAGTTGTTTCCTGCCTGCCAGGAGCTGACCAACAAAAGTTGCTTAAAACTGAAACCATGCCATCTGGATACAATAAAAGTAGTGGAGGGTTGACTTACTTTTGCAATTCCTTGTTTACATTACTATGTTACAGTTCTGCTTCACAATGAATCATTCTGAAAAACTACTTTGCCAGCAGGAGTTTGACCACAGGAGTTTGTAGATGAAAGAATGTTTCTCATCACTACTGCTAGTGCAGAGGCAGGTGCATTGGTGACAGTGCTTTCTATGCATGGGCATTTTCTGCATACTTTCCTCTATCTTTCCTCTAACTTTCCCCTTCCACACATGGTCCACAGAGATTCCACACTGATTCTTGGGACAAGGTCATTGGAGGTGCCATGGCAACTCACAGACCCCCCCTTTTTTACATGCATGTGTTCCAGCACTATACCAGTTCTATATTAATATTTGAAACAGATGTGGCAACAGATATAGTGTCATAATGTAATATTGACAAACAAATAGGATCTCTCTAGCCATCTGACAGCTTCCCCCTTATTCCTTTCCATCTGGTCAAAACTACTTGCACCTTCCCCCTTATAACTCTGCAGTGAAAAGTGCTGGATCTTTAAAAACAAAAACAAATGAACACTGAGAATTCAGAAGAACTTAAAATTTGAAACAGAAATAGAAAAGTAGGGATAGATTGTTACACCATTATGGTGCAACAACAATTACCATTTTTAAAATAAAATCTATAACAATCCCTGTCATGGCATGGTGGGGGAGGGGGATTTGGGGAAACAGCACATGTGAGGGGCTGACAGCTGGAAAATGGTACTAATGTGGGCAAGATCTTGTCAGCAGAAAAATGCACACCATTCTTTCCACACAGCATGCTAATGTTCTTGGGCTGTGTTCTTTTCAAAAGGATCAGAATAGGGAAGGTTAGGAAAAGAGCATATTATGGATGGGGGAACTCTGTAACAATGATAATTAAAGCAATGTTATGTGGATGTTTCTGAAAAAGTGTTCTATTTTGGAACTGAAGGCAGACCCAAAAAAAAGTATGTTAGCAGTTTTGGTGCTACAATGTATCTTTTTGATGAGCTGGACACTGCAAATAAAATCTTTTTGAAACTCCTTGGGTGCAATTTCCGACTCTATTTATACATTACAAAGTCCTTGTGCTTGTTGGGAAAGCTCACCCTCTCTTGGCCTCTGAGACAGTCGTGGGGGGGGGGGCTGGGTTCAGATGGGGAATCTCAAGTGGGAGTGCTGCTCCAGCATCCAATCACTTCTCAGAATGGGGATGGAAAGTTGGAGGGAAGCACAGTTCAGTTCTGCCTTAGGGAGAGAGGGGGTAGAAAAGGCCTGTCATAGTACTCTATATCCATTACCAATTTCCAAAAGAAATGCTTATTTTCCTATATTTTGTGAGAAGCCATTATCATTGTAGACAAATTTTATGCTGGGGTGGGTTTTTTTGTATTCTAAAGTCCTATCGTGTCAAATGTATTAAAATCTAACTTGAAAAAGAGTCTCTGTCTATTTATCTAGGAATCCATATAGCTGGATTTACTGAAGATACAGTGGACCATTTGTTTTCTGCATGGGAAAATGGGCATGAGTTGTGGGAAGTTCAACATTATTCCCATTTAATTATCCTTTTACAGGATAACAGTAGCAAATAATTAAGAAACTATCACTGCAGTTCCGGGGGGGGGGGGATCTACTTGTTGAATGTCTGCCTATTGTTACTGTTACAGGCACAGAGCCTATGTTCTGGGGAAGGGAGATATCACTCCTGCACTTTACGCATGTAACTATTATTGCTATTAAAGGCTTACATGTGTGAAGTTAAAGTCCTGTGTATTTTGCTGGAATGAGGCCTGGTGTTACAAAACAAGCTCAACTCACTTGTCACAGCTCTAAAAGATGGACAGGCACGTAGGTAGGCAGACAGATTAGAGGAATCAAAAATACCTTTGTGTCCTGAAAATACTGGATCCGTGGGAATTAGAGCAGATGTTAAGGGCAAGTGGTTTACAATGCAATCCTAAACAGAGCTACACCATTCTAAACCCATTGAAGCCAATGGGTAGAGAAGGATATAATTCTGTTTAGGATTGCACTGTTAATGTCTAATATATTACAAATTCAAGCAAGGTTATAATTTGACTAAGCCATAAGTACTGAAATATGTTTCAAAATGTGAATTCAGATTCCTTGCTCTTTACAGTCACAAGGGGACACTGAATTTCTCTTAATTTGGAGTCCACATTAACAAAAGGCCCCTGAATTCTTGAATCAAAGCTGAAGAAACCTGGATGGAGACAGGGACTTGCTCTAGTGCAGAACAAAAATATATTTTTAATTTAATCTGACCAAGTGGATATATTTCCTACTAAGGATGTTTAGGATCCCAGCCACTGAAAAGATGAACTAAAATTGCTCATTCAGAACTGGCTATGGACCATCTTTTAAACGCCACTCTTTCTTATGGTAACACAATAACATCTAGCTCAAGAAGGAGATGTGGTTTGGGGTCCAGCAGTGGAAGAGAGAGAACTGGAGCAGGTGGAAGACAGATAAATAATCCTTACTCCCAATGAAATTTCATATGCAGTTATCTGTCTTGCTTCTGAGAGTTATTTGCCCTCTAAACATGCTGTGATATGACATAGTTTAGCTTCTGTTGACATTTTATATAGTTCATTACCTAAAATTAAGCTCCTGCTTTGTTAATACAAGGACTATCACATTTTTCTTTTGCTCTCTGCCTGGGGAGACATCTGATTCACTGGTTAGCATTTCTATTCTCAAAGGGAGAGGAGCTTGGGGGGGGGCAGGTTTCTCAGTGCCGGTTCTCTTGGTGCGTTTTGAAACCTGTTTTATATCCAACCCTACCTTAAGACACTAAGCTACTGACTTTATTATCACGTCCAGAACCACTTTTTCTTTCCCACACTATTTTTATTCATCTGTTTTTTGTACAGGTCATCCAGCCTCCATTTTGTGATACTTTGGCTGCTCTTAATAAAAGAAGTATTACACAATTGTTGTTTTTCAATTCTTTGATACAGCCCAATATGGCTACCAATAACTTTTGCATGTTATTCCATAGCTGATGCATACAAGTACATTCAGAATAATCCAACCTAAACATCGCTTACCAAGGCAACATTCACACACCACAGAAGCTGCAATGAGTGATCCCGCTGATGCTCCATAGACCTTTGATGCAGATCTCACAATTTCAGGTGCTTGTTCCAACAGGCTCTGGACTACACCAATCTCATAAACTACCAGATAACCACCACCTGCAAAAGAAAGAGAAAATGGGCTACCAGGCATCCTTAAATCCACTTCAGTCATCCTCAGGGAACAAATGGAGAATTCTGGATCTCTTCTGCAGTTAAAAGGGAATAACCCACGTTGCACTAGCACCTGCTCAGAGTTTTCAATATTGCTTATTACAAAAATTCATTTTTGATCCTTTTATTGGAGATCCAGGACAATGTTTTTAACTATATGTCTAGCTAAAGATAAAATTCATAGCATCAAAGTAGCTCTACAGATTTTAGACTATAGCTGTCTTCTCTTTTTGCTTGGAGTCAGGCTCTGTTTTTAAGACCGTAAATTCGAAATCTTGTACGAGTTCCAGTATTCTGGTAGAAGATTAGTCTTAGAGAAAATAGCAGGAATTTGAACTGAGTTTGCATTTCTCTGTAGCTACATTCCCTGCCTGCTCTCCAGCTCTTCTTCAAGAGTGCCTTTCTCAATTGGATTTTCTCACAATCTCTTCTTAGGAACAGATCACCACGAAACAGGCAGAGATTTGCACACGGAACTTAGAAATAATGGGCTGTGGTCCAATAGCTTACCCAGTAGGCTGGCTATGTTAATTTGAAAACTTGATTACTTAAGCATGAAGTGAGATAACTTTCTCATTCTGAAGGACTAACAAACTTGTTATTCAGTTCAATGAAGTTCTATTTAGTTCTGTTTGTCAGCCTGCCACCCTTACAATGTGTTTGTGTCTTTGAGCTTCCCACAGAACATAGCATTATGCTGGCATAGTGGGCTTCAATCAGCAGTAAGCAATGCTGACATTCCTGTTACATTCCAGTGGGATACCTGTAAAGAGACATAAATGGGAGGAAAGGAGTGGCAGGGAGGAATCACTTGCTTTAGGCAGCATTTCTATAAGCCCCTGTAAGTTTTCCATTTATTTATATTCCAACTCTGTTTAATATAAACACCCAAGGTGGCTAACAAATATTAAACTTTCTATTATAATACAAACATCAAACAATTAATTAACCATTAATTAGAAAAAACTGTACCATGGTATGGAGCAGGGGGAATGGAAGAAGGTGGTGGGAGAAGAACATGCCAGGTAATGGGAAGCAACATTCTGCTGCTCTGTAACTGCTGCTGCCTTCCTTATGTGCCCATGGCCCACAGTTTACCTCTGTTCTCCCAGAGTTAGAGCTCTCAGGGGTGTGTAGAAACTGAAAAAATTTGGAGGGGAAAATCATTTTTCTGGGGCTTAAATGGAAATTTAAAGGACCACTGAAAAGAAATTCTTATGAAATATTTTTGGTATTAGAATGAGTAAAATGCATTTAAAGGCAAAAGCTTTTCATATTAAAAAGGTATCACATAAACAGCTCTGAGGACTTTTCCCATTTTTCTAGTAAAAAAAGGGGGAATTTTGAGGTCCACTGGGGGAAAAAATCTCTTATTTATTTAACTTTTACCCCGCCCTCCCTACCAAGGTGGGCTCAGGGCGGCTTCCACAAAGCTGATAAACAGTATACCTTTTGCAATTGATAAAATAGAATAAATCATTTAAAACACAGACAAATTTAAAACATCACTTCGATGGCGATAAAACTAAAGTGCAGTTTAAGGACACATTCAGCGGTGCCACCGTGCTAAGTCATGTTGGATCAGAGTTCACACAGGGCGCTGCTGGTAGGATGTCACTCCTAACAGAACCCTAACCCTAAAAAGCTCTGTTTACACAGCCCTGCGGAACTGTGAAAGGTCCCGCAGGGCCCTGATCTCGGCAGGAAGCTCGTTCCAATAGGACAGAGCTACAAACGAGAAAGCCCTGGTCCTAGTTGCCATCAACCTGACTTCCTTTGGGCAGGGTAGATCCAGACGGTTTTGGGATCCTGATCGCAGTGCTCTCTGGGGAACATGCAGGGAAAGGCGGTCCCTCAGGTAAACCGGTCCCTGACCATAAAGGGCTTTAAAGGTCAAAACCAGCACCTTGAAGCGAATCCGGAATGCTATTGGCAGCCAGTGCAGAGTCTTAAGCACAGGCTGGATGTGCTCCCACCTGGGGAGGCCCATCAGCAGCCTGGCTGCTGCATTCTGCAGCAGCTGCAGCTTCTGGAGTTTCAACCCCATGTAGAGGCAGCCCCATGTAGAGATCATTGCAGTAGTCCAACCTTGAGGTGACCATAGCATGGATCACTGTCGCCAGATCATTGCGTTTGAGGAAGGGAACCAACTGCCTAATCAGCTAAAGATGGTAAAAGGCTGCCTTGGCAGAGGCTGCTACCTGGGCCTCCATTGTTAAGTCCAAGAGCACTCCCAAGCTCCTGACCCTCAGAGCTGGCACCAGCGGCACCCCACCGAAGGCCGGGAGTGGAATTCCTACCCCCGTACCGCTCCGATTCAGGCACAGGACCTCCGTCTTCATCGGATTCAATTTCAATCGACTCAGTCTAAGCCAGCCAGCCACGTCCTGTAACACCCGGTCCAGATCTTCTGGGTTAGAGTCAGACTGACCACCCAACATCAGATAAAGCTGGGTGTCATCCGCATATTGGTGACAACCCAGCCCATGCCTCCGGACAATCTGGGCAAGGGGGCGCATAAAGATTTTAAATAACATCGGGGAGAGTACAGCCCCTTGGGGCACACCACACACTAGTGGGTGCCTTCGGGACTGCTGCTCCCCGATGGCCACTCTTTGTCACCGACCTTGGAGAAAGGAGACAAGGCATTGCAAGGCAAGCCCCTGAATTCCCATGTTGGCGAGGCGGTGGGCGAGCAGCTGATGGTCGACCGTGTTGAACGCCACCAACAGGTCTAACAACAGCAGCACCGCCGTCCCACCCCGATCCAGATGTCTCCGAAGGTTATCCGTGAGGGCGACCAGTGCTGTCTCCGTCCCATGGCCCGGGTGAAAGCTGGACTGGAAAGGATGTAGCATAGAAATTTCATCCAGAAAGCTCTGCAACTGTATCGCCACCGCCCTCTCAATTAACTTGCCCAAATAAGGCAAGTTGGAAACCGGCTGGTAGTTGGCCAATTTGGCCGGATCCAGAGATGGCTTTTTAAGGAGGGGGCGGACCATCGCTTCCTTGAGAGCCCCCGGGAATAGCCCCTCAGAGAGGGACTCGTTGATAATATCCCTGAGAGCACCTCGAAACCCCTCATGGCCCGCTTTAATTAGCCAGGAGGGGCACGGATCAAGGCTGCATGTGGTTGGGCATACAGTTGAGATCAATCTGTCAACTTCATCTAGGCTGAGTGGACCGAAATAATCCAGAATGGGACCAGAAGACGTGCGTGGAGCCTCGAGTTCACTCACTGTCTCAACTGTGGCAGGGAGGTTGTGGCGGAGTGCCAAGACTTTATCTGCAAAGTAGCTCGCAAAAGCCTCACAGCCAATATCCAATTCCCTAGTGTTTTGTCTGCCCTGTGGCAGAGCTGTTAAAGACCAAATTGTTCTAAACAATTGTGCTGGGCGTGAGCTGGCAGACGCAATCGAGGCTGCGTAGAACTCCCGCTTCGCAGCTTTAACTGGCACCTCATAGGATTTCATAAACGTCCTATAAGATGCTCTTGTTGCTTCGTAACGGGCACACCGCCACTGTCTCTCTAGCTGTCTAAGTCTCTGCTTCATCAGCCTCACCTCCTGGGTGTACCAGGGAGCCAGCCTAGTATGCGGGCGCAGAGGGCGTCTGGGAGCGATCTCATCGATGGCTGTCAAGAGTCGGATTTGCCACTCCTCGACTAGCTCATCTAATGAGCCGCTAGGGGGCATGGGATCCCGAAGAGCCATCTGAAGCCGCACTGGGTCCATTTGGCTCCACGGGTGAACTAAAATGTGCTCGCCGCCCAAACAGGGTTGGGGTGGCACATTCACTTGGGCCCTCAGGGCATGGTGGTCCGACCATGGAACTGCCATAGCAGTAATCCAGTCCACTGTAACCCCCGCCGCAAAGATCAGATCAAGCGTGTGACCGGCTCGTTGAGTGGGGGCCGTTACATATTGGGAGAGTCCCAGCGCCACCATGAACGACATCAGGTCCGTCACCCATGAGGAAGCCGCATCGTCGGCATGGACATTGAAGTCACCCCTCCACCAGGGACGGCAGGCTGTCAGGCGGTGTGTTGGGCGGTTGGTACACCAACCAAACAGCCAAACTCTCCCTGGCTTCCCACACAAAGCCGGCACACTCAATGCCTGTGAGTCTCAGCACCGGGAGCACCCTGAAGGAGTAAGTCCCTCGAATGAACAGTGCCACTCCCCCCCCCACCCTGTAGTCCGAGATTGGTGAAGGACCGAGAATCCAGGCAGAGCTAACTGGGAGAGTGCAACTGTCTCCCCATCTCGCACCCAGGTCTCGGTCACGCATGCCAGGTCCGCGTCCTGCTCCAGCAGGAAGTCCCGAAAGACTGCGGTCTTATTATTTATGGACCTGGCGTTATACAGCACCAATGTTGGAGTGGGGGTTCTAATCCTTGCCCCACTGCCTGCCTCCTTTGGGATGGGACGCAGGCTGGAAGGTGGCCAAGCTTCTCTATTTTAAGTGAGAAAATCCTTACTTTATTCCACTCTGAAGGCTTTCTCAATTTTTCCAGTGGAAAAACAGTAATTTTGGGGAGCACTGGAAAAAACCCTAGAATATACAGTATTTTCACAATTTTAAAATTTATAATTTTGGCAACTTTTCATATGCTATAATGTATTTAATGACAGCACATTATTAAAGAGTTCAGTGGTTTCAATGTTTAGTTTAATATCCAAATATGCTGGCAGTCCTACCATTTGTGAAATGAAAATACAAGCCTACTTCTTCAGTTGGGTTGTGACAGACAGGTCTTTGTTTTTATGTTTTGAAATCTGGATAGAGCCTTTCTCCTATGACCCAGAAAACACAGCTTGCCTGTGACTCTTGGCCTGACCTTTACTCAGCACTATGACCCATACCATACTCAATATTGTCACTCCCTAAAATTCTGGCTAGCAGTGGAGACAAGATATCTGAGCTGGAGTCAAAGCTTGGAGAGATGCCTTGTTAGTTTTTTCTATTCACAACTATGTCTCTAGGTGAAGGACCTTCAAGTCAAAATACAACAAAATAATGGTTGTTTTGTTTATTGAAAATCTGCTGTAAACCCCGCAAAAAGTGAAGTGGAAATATAGTTTAGGAGAAGCCTGCTTGCCTCTATCCCTCGCCATACTGTAGAAAGCCCTTTGGCTGCAATACTTTTTTTTAAACACACTTTGGATTGGACCCTTTTATTTCCCATAGAGTACATTCAAGTGGAGCATCTCTCCTCTTCAGAGGAAAAAGGGTTTAAAACAGGTTAAATCAGATGTCCTTGCTCCTGGCTATTAAGCCTCCCTACTTAGGGAACAAGGTGAAGCTCCTCTATGTCAGTTTTTACTGGTTTCACATAACATTTGCCTCAGTGATGCTTGTCCAGTTAGGGTTGCTTTTTAAAAAATGATCTCTTTCCATATAAAACCAGTAGTATGGTATTGTTGTCAGCAGCATTTCATAACTTGGTGGCATTCTGTAACACATTGCATTTCACATGCTTATTTACCAATTATAAACAGCCCAAAATCACACTTGCCTTTTTAGCTACCGCATCACACTGCTTGCTTGCTTATTTATTGGGTGTCTATCCCGCCCTCCCCGCGAACAGGCTCAGGGCGGCTTATGTTTAAAGGCACTATGTGCCAGAGTACATAAAACCTATAAAACCAGATAAAATAACCATATCATTACAATGAAAGTGCTCAACATAGAAATGATCTTCCACGTTCAGTATATGGTCTATTAGACCCCTAGATCCTTTTTGCACATACTGCCAAGACAAGTCTCTGATTTTTCCTACCTAAATGCAGAGCTTTACATTTGTCCCCACTGAAATTAATTTTGTTTTAGCCCAGTTTTCCAGCCTGTCAAGATCGTTCTGTATGCTGACTCTGTCTTCTACCATATTTGCTACCCCTCCCAATGTAGTATCATCTGCAAATTTAATAAGCATTCCCTCCATTTCTTCAGCCACATCATAATATATAATTCCATTTTGGTCGTGGACTCTCTCCAGAAGAATTGGTTGGCGCCCTGGTGTGTCATTCACAGGGCGTCTGTCTCCACTGGCTGCGTTGCTTCCTCCGTTGGCATGGTCCCGTCCACAGAGGCAGCACCCAGCATCTCAGCCTCACTCTGGTCAGAGCGCACGGACGGATCGGACACTCCAGTGGCCAGGGCCCCAAGCCTGATCGTTCCACCGCCACTACAGTCGTCCTCACCAAGTGCAGGGGTGGAAACTAGCCAGAGGGTCAAAAGTACTGATTTTACTGACCAAAATTCCAAAAAAACCCTGACCAAATACTAACAAAAAACTGACAAATTACTGAACAATTTAATGTCATCCTATTGATAACGTTTTAAAAGTAAAACTAGGACTTCATTAAAAAGTGATTATTATCTGGCCTCCACCATCCTTATAGCCAGCCCCATAGTTAGATCTGATCCAGATAAAAGGATTGCACACCTTTTAATGGATTCTTTTCATGAAGACGGGACAATGTTTTGATTATTGTTCAAAATTTAAGGCAAAAAAAGATTCCCTTTTAAAAATAACCACATACTGTAGATAATAAAACAGCGAAACATATTTAAAAACAACACATAAAGTAACCATTATGACAACAAAACACAACTACTGTAAGGTAAGACTTGGCTTTGCTTTTACTTTATCTTTGGTTTTTCATGAAAAAAGAAGATATTAACGAACTCTTTTGTTTCTCAACAGTTTTCTGCACTGCATCCGCAAGCATTTTTTTTCTTGTCTGCTTCTTCCATTGCTTTCTCCACTCCTTCTAGCATAATCTGTGCCATGTTCCCTTGCTTGAAAGCCAGTTGAATCCGACTCTAGGGTTGCGGTGCTCATCTCCGTTTCAAAGCCAAAGAGCCAGCGCTGTCCGAAGACATTTCCGTGGTCATGTGGCCGGCATGACTAAACACCAAGACGCATGGAACGCTGTTACCTTCCCACCGAAGTGGTACCTATTTATCTACTTGCAATTTCTTGCTTTCGAACTGCTAGGTTGGCAGGAGCTGGAACTAGAGACCGGAGCTCACTCCGTCATGCGGCACACTCGGGTCTCGAACTGCTGAACTATCGACCTTCCACAGCCTGCAGTTCAGGATCTTAACCACTTGAGCCACCGCAGCTCCTGGGACACCCCAAACATACCATTAAATCCCATATCATGTTTCACAGAAATCACAGTGCCACGGCTCTGTGGCAACACCATGCTGCAAAAACATGGTTTTGAAGCACAGATCCCCATGGACCCTTATGATTTTTGCATTGTGTCACCCCAACATCACCATCAAATAATATGCCTTGTCCATGGCCACAGAATGCATCACAGAAATCATATGTCCACTGCTCCGTGGCGACCACATTCTACAAAAACATGGTTCCAAAGCACAGATCCTCGTAGATCCTCACGGTTTGTCAGTTGGGTCACCCCAAACACACCATGAAATCACATAGCAAATCCACGACCACAACTTGCACCACAAAAATCCTTGGGGATTTTGTGTTGGGACATCCCAAACATACCATTAAATCCCATATCATGTCCATGGCCACAGCCTGCACCATAGAATTCATGTTGCCACGGCTTCATGGCAACACCATGCTGCAAAAACATGATTCCATAGCACGGATCCTCATGGATCCTCAAGGTTTTTGTGTTGGGTCACCCCAACATCACCATTAAATTACATACCTTGTCCATGGCCACAGAATGCACCACAGAAATCACATGTCCACGGCTTCATGGTGACACCATGAAGCCAAAATATGGTTCTG